TTCAGGATATGTTTCCTCCCATTTGAGGCTCATCAGCTGGATGTACATGCACCTCAGAGAGTGGTGTTACTCTCACTGAGACTCGAATCTCGCACCGATCTCTTCAAACTTCAAATGGTTATCCACTAGACCACTGAGGAACGAGAGCTATATCTTGTGCAGTGAGCATCAGTTTTTGTCTGATACTTGTAGACTCCCGTTGATATACTGAGTCGAATTGCTCAACCTCCGTTGGATGAAAAGCATGTCGTGGATTACACTGTCAACCACTGGGTAGATTATAACGTAATGGGTAAGCGGGTAGAACCGAGGTATCCGCATAAGAGCCCATCTGCCGACAAAGGTCGAGCAATCCGACCCAGCATAGCAGCGTGGGATCACAGGTATCTTACACTAACTTTAAACTCATTTTTATACAACTAACGTTAAATAATCACTTTTTAAACGCTAACTGAGCCGTCAGTTATCTTGATAGTTTTAAGAATCATTTCTAGTTACAACTTTTAAGGCGTAAAGTGGTATGTACTTAATTATGTCTCGAAGTAATCTCCATAACGAAATGACATCGATTAGGGAGACCGTCGGAAATCTTGAAGTACTGAGCAGCTATTTCGTCGTAGTTTGAGATTCCTCAGAACAGTTAAGCTTGGCATAACCACTCAGCCACTGAGTAGGAATGCTATGATGAAAATTTCCCTGCTTCTGTTGATTCACGATATAGCGTGACCATCGTGTAATGGCGTTCAAGAGTATTTTTCCGCAAATTTGACTTAGTCGATCGACACTCTAGGTCACTACTTCTTAACAGAACTTCAAGAAATCCATCTTGAAGCATCTGATTGATGAGTACGCTGTCTCACGAATCAATAGAGGTTGGGAAATATGGACCACTGCATTCCCGTCCAGTTGTAACGGGCTCTACGCGAAACCTAACAATCCTAAGCTCCATTCCCCGTAGGATCGTAGGTTTACGCTGTTGAGGAGTTCCATAATAAGACGGGACAACTCTCTGGTGCTTTTGGTTTTTCTATGGTTTTACAGCTGATATCAATTCAGGATGAAAAGCCACATGTAAGCCATTCAATTTCTACAAACCAATTGAATTATTTACTGATATAGGTTTATTAGTTTGTATGAGCTGATAGCCTAAGCAATCACAACGACAGTACACATTACTAACTTCACACTTTCGATCAAAAGCTTCCTGAGGTGGTGATAAAGTAGCTGGACACTTAAGACTCGACAGTTATATAACATTTCCGTGTGGTCTTTACTGCTGTGCTGCTGTCCTCATCGGTAACTAGCTTCCAGAGGTGATTCGCGAAGTCCCAATGAGTAATCATAATCGGTGGAGCTAATCAAGTCGAACATGAGGACAGGCACTCAACAATGGCATCGCCTGTACGTCGCACTATATTGTTAACTGACAAAAATAGGAAATATGGACCGTTGGATTCCAACCCACTAGATTGATGCCAACATGCTGGTCGCGGAACCTGGGAGCTTCTGGTTCGATCTCTGACACGGTCATAGATCTGGACTGCCGAGAACTCCCATACTAGGAGAAAACAGCTGTACAGTTCTCTCAGGTTCCCAATGTTTTTCCAACTGATGTCACTCCATGATGAATACCAACCTAGTTGTTAAAAGTTGGCAGAAAGTCCAAAATTATGCATATCTGATAATTTCAAGTTGTTATTCATCGTAGACTGACATCAGCTGGAGGAACAAAGAAATCTGGGAGCACTGGACAGCTATTTCGTCCTAGTATGGCACTCCTCAGCAGTGCGCACCCATGACCCCACCAGCAGGGATCGAACCGGCGACCTTCATGTTCCTCGGCCAGCGCGTTGAAATCGACCACTGAGTAAGGATCCAATGCTCCATATTCCCAACTTCTGTTAGCTCACTATAAGTTTTATTTTGTACACACCTGTTGAATACAATTGAACCAAGTGGTTGTCATTGCTCGTAGTTGGTATGTAGTCATGAGCAAGGCAACGAATCAATCGATAAAGTTATCGATTTATGTTTCCTGAGAAACTTGAAACCTAGATATTTGTTCGATTCTTACGAGAGAGAGAGAGAGAGAGAGAGAGTATAAGTCAAATCATTCAGGAAAATAACCCCTGGTCTAATTCAAGCTTCAAATTGTACACCTCCACCATTGAAATCCCCTATTTCTGTCACAATTAACCAAACTATATTTAGACTGACTTTAAATGTCATCTCCTAGCAACAACTGAAATAACCAATCAAACTTAAGTATTTTACGAAAGTCTGGGTTTCCTGCCAAAATGGAGAAACCTAATTGCTTATTTCGACTGTTGCTGAAGTGGCTTTTAAAGTCACTCCTATACTTAATTCCTATAAATTTGAATCTACCATCTGCGTGCTGTTTCCTACTCCATTGCAAGTAGATCATTTTTCTCACTCTTTTCTAGGTTCGTGTTTACTACTTTGTCCTCAACTCTGGACAAGGTGAAAATTTCAAACAACTAAACATCCATATAATATTGATTGATAAAAAGCAACAATCTAGATGAAGAATATTCTTTTCAATAAGTATTCTCTTCACCTTCTACACCTGTGTAATATGCATTTGTACAGCGTGTAGTCAAGCCATATTAAGGGTAGGTACATTTTCAAAATGGAGTGAGATTTAGTGATTGTAAGCAAGTCGATTTACCCTTTCAAATTAGTCACTATTGAGATGATACATATACACAAGAATGATATGATGCTGAACAAAAAGATATCGAATAAGATGGGAGAAGTGGCCTTTTATTTTGCTGAAGGCCAAGGGAGAAGTAACGCTTAGTTAGACATGTTCCTTCTGAATGCATAATTTAGACTTGATCAATCTTATTGCGACATCCTCAACTGTGGTCAGCAGATGTTGGCGAGATACATGTGGAGTCGTTTATGGAACACGATGAAAGCTTTATTAGCACCTATGTGATGCGGTGTGTCAACTAGATGCTCTACGACTGAACTTTTCACCACTTCCACTTCGCCATTCCCACAACAAGCTGGTGAATGCTCTCGTATCCGGAGATGCAGTTGCCTAATCGTACGCCCTATATAACTAGTACCACAGAAACAGTTAAATTGATATGTGGAAGATGAAGAGTTAAGATTAGAGAAGACTATCCTTTAGTCTCAGACTGATCATTGACCGACTGCTGAATGACATGCAAAACTGACCTGCATAAAACGTCCTGTTGACCAGTATAGCTAAATGTTGTGATACAATGTCACTTGTAACATCTCCCTTGAATTGTAAGCGCAGAAACAAAGACTTCTTCCACATTGTCATCAGTTCTTGTTTACAACCAATGTAGTTGATGTTCACTTTGATAAACTTAACCGGATATCCTTTTTCACTTAAAATATCATGGATACACAATAGTAGTTCTTTTTCTATACACTCCATGCAACAATTCGATCTTACTCTAAAATCCAGGCACCTGATTATATATTATCTTTGTACTTCATCGATATGGAACTTACAAAGTGCATATACTGTTCCATAGATGTTAGTTTTCTATACACATACTTCTCAGTCAGTATAGAGCCATTTTTGTTTCATGTCATTAGCATAACAAGAAAATGTATCGAATGATTAATTTTATTTTCGTGTATAAAATGAATTGATGGATGAGTAGTACTGTTGAAATGGTTCAGAATAGAATTAATATATATGCGCCTACCAAAAGACTAAAACAGTATCATCCATGTATAGACAGTACAACTCCATATTAGCAGTTTGATCTTTCAAAGGAACATTTTCTCAATTTTGCCAAAAATATGTCAGCAAATATTTGATCCATTGGAGATCTACGCATGTGTTGCAAAGTTTGTTTTATTTTTAAGGCGTTTACCAAGACAGTAAAAGTTCTCTGCTTCAATCATTCTTCTTATCGCGTTATGTTTACGAGTATTGAGTCCATGGATGTCTGAACATTGTTGGGTCAGGAACAAACAGTCGATTACCTAATAGAATACAGCATTTTGCTTAAAAATGTTGGGTGATATAGCACCAAATCGCATCAGAATAGCTTAACATTTATATTATTTCTTCTTTGGGTTTCTAGTGAAACATAGACCTTCAGTAGCACGTCGCTATTTCACTCTCTTCTCTGCAATCTTTGTAACCTGGCTCCACAACTCTTTAGAAGTTTTCATTTCTTCCTCACATGATCTCCTCCATGTCATCCTCGCCTCGGATGCCCAACTCATCGTTTCCCATTCGGGTTCCATTCAAGAGCCTAGCCTGGTGCGTGATCTCCCCAAGTGGTCCTCTCAGTGTATCCCCAATCCATCTCCACTTTCTTCTGCATGTTTGTTGAGCGATGGGTTCCTCCTTAGTTCGTTACCGACCAGAGTTCCTTGTTACTTATTCGTATTATGTTGGCGATCCATCTGATTTTCAGTGTGGGTATGTAGTGAGCATAGGTAGGTGTAGGTGGTAGGTGTTGATGTGATGTATGTGTGTAGTTTGTTGGAAATGCTTTTCGTAACTCACTAAGTCTGTCAACCATGACATGGAAGGAGTGACTTGACGTTGGTGTTTAAAATCCGAATGTTGTTGACGCTTTATGGTGAGTGGATTGGAGTAGATTTGTACACTGATTTGAGGTAAGTGAAGAAAGGTGTGTGTTGCTGTTTTTTCGATCCTGGCTTTGACATTGTCATCTATGCCTGTGTTGCCTGTAGTTGAAATGATGCTGCCTAAGTAGGTGGTAGGTGGAAGAGACGATAACATTATTCATCATATTTTATTCCGGTCTCACGTTTTTGTTGTTATAATGTTGTCTTTGTGTTGTATAAAAATGTTCTGAGTATACCAACGTGACCCAACTTTCAGTTTTGAAGTTTTCACGTAATTTTCTGAGTATAACAAACATATAACCCATGTGGTTTGATTTTTCTAGAGTTACAGTTTATGTGTATGTATGTATGTATGTGTGTGTTTGTATTTTTGTTTTTATGTTCAGATCATCCTGATACTGTGATATCTGGTTGTCTACCGATATCATATGAACCATTGAATTACTCAGGTGTAGAAAATACTCAGTCTTCTATTGATACGCATATTCTACCAATTCATCAATATCATGGTAGTAGCCCCCAAATAATATTGTTACTACTAGCCTTAATCCTGTGATATCCACATTGAAAGCGTGCTCATCACATCCTATTGTATTGGATGAAATCTATACATCAAACACTATCAATGCTTCTCATTCTAGTCAATGTCATCCTTTCTACTCTGACCCACTTGATATTCTTAATAGCAATACTTGTATTCATACCAATAATAATAATAGTACTGGTGTTGTATATAAAAAAATCAATTGGATCACATTCTGAATATACTGATAGATACTGTCAAGTTAGTCAAATATCAGCAATTGAAACATTATCAACAGGTTCATTTAATCCAACAGATAAACCTACTGCTCCATTACCATCTCGTAAGCAAAGACCATTGTCTCCGTCTACATCAATTATCTCTGTTCCCAGTGGAATTACTACTCCAGTGTCTATTATCAACATGCATCAGTTGAATACAAATATGAATTCAATTGTTCATCAACTTCAACAACAAAAACAACCTTATACTCCTAAATTATCTCATCATAATGTTGTAATGTCTATTGGTGACCCTAGCATTCAATCACTTACATCATCATCATCATCATCATCTCGATCGCATTATCAACATGCATATCAACATCAAAACATGCATAAATTAACTAGTGGATGGTCATCTTCCTCAAGTAGTGGGGGTGTTGCTGGGGGAGCTCGTATTACCTGCACCACCACCACTACTACTACCACCACCACCACCAATAGTAATAATAATACTAACAAATCTGACTGTTATCCAATCATTAATTCAGATCAGTTTACTATTGGAACTAGTGGAGATGGAATTAAAAATTATTACAGTAATAATTATACTCGTAGCAATAATGTTTCAAATGCTATCTCAACTACTATTAACAGTCATCTTAGTAGTATAGGCTTTATGAATAATGATGTAAGTATACCTTAGTTTTATATGTTAAATTATTTCAATAATTTTTACTATACAGTTAAGCATTCAACTGAATTTTCAATTAGATTCTACTGAATTCAATTTGAAACACCGAAAAAAAAAACGTTTAGCGAAGAGTCATTCCCTTCAGCGATATCATTCTCAAGTTGTACAGTTCCATATCAATAACAATATACTACAAAATTTTTCAAGGTGGAGTTATATAAGTAAACGAAAAAGCGAAGAACTTTCTCAGATTTGTAACTGTATCAACAAACGGTTCTGCGTGAAGTTAACTTATCTTAATTTTAAAACTATTTTTATGATTATTATTTGTCCGTTGGGTTCCTGGTAGAACATAGAGCTTCAATTTTGTTCTTCTGTTCTCTGCAGTCTTTGTAACCTGGCTCCACGATCGCCCACAAGCTTTCATTTCTTCATCACACCATCTCCTCCATGTCACACTCGTCTCCGACGCCCAACTCATCGTTTCCCATTCGGGTTCCATTCAAGAGCCTAGCCTGGTGCGTGATCTCCACAAGTGGTCCTCTCAGTGTATCCCCAATCCAATCCAATCCATCTCCACTTTCTTCTGCATGTTTGTTGAGCGATGGGTTCCCACTTAGTTCGTTGCCATTCAGCCAGCCAGCGAGAGTTCCTTGTTGCCTATTCGTATTATGTTGGCGATCCATCTGATTTTCAGTGTGGGTATGTAGTGAGCATAGGTAGGTGTAGGTGGTAGGTGTTGATGTGATGTATGTGTGTAGTTTGTTGGAAATACTTTTCATAACACGCCAAGTCTGTCAATCATCACATAGAATCACTCACTGACTCACTTGACTGAATTAGTCTTGAAAATCCGGATGTTGTTCACACTTTATGCTGAGTGAAGTGCAGTGCAGTAGATCTCTACACTGATCACTTCAGATTAATGAAGTAAGGCCTGTGTTGCTGCCTTTCGGATCCTGGCTGGTTTTAACATTCTCATCTATGCCTGTGTTGCCTGTAGTTGAAACGATGCTGTGTAAGTAGGTAGGTGAAAAAGATAACTTCTTTTACATTTCTCCCGTTGATGGAGATCGGTGCTTGTTAATGTTGCTGTTGTTGCTTGGGTATATTCATCACCTCTGTCTTCTCTACGTTCACCTGAAGTGTTGTCTTCGCTGCCCCACCCCGTCCTGCCTTGCCTTGCTTCCTCTGCCAACATGTTGTTTTCACCTGTAGATCTTCAAGTTTGTGTGACATAAGACCCTAGACATAAATCATCATCAGTGAAACCCAAATCTTATTGTTCCAGCCAACATATGCCCCTCTTCTCGCTCGTCACAGTTTGTTGCATGATCCAGTCCAGTTGACCACAATTAGAAAGATCATCGTTGATGATAGTGGGCAATCTTATGTTACTGCTTCCTATTTTCACTTCAAAGCAAGAAAGTATATTGACTTCAAATGCACTGTAGCGATTGTAACCTTGAATGGGAAAATTAGAAGAGCATCCTGAAATTAAAAAACGAGCCAATCAGGATTTATTATATTGAACCGCTGTAAAAATAAATACCATTACGTTGGGCAAGAAAAGCGCAGAAATAAGGTTTAAATTTTACAATGAAACTGTATGCATAGGTTAGTTTTTAAGGGGTTGAAGATTCCTGACAGTTGATTGCACTCCAGTTACTAGTTAGTGTATTCTTGAACGTTTTTCATACAGAAAATTGTTACTGTAGATGAAAAATCCCAAGTATATATTAATGATGGAATGATAGTGGAATCCAGGACGCACGTTTCGTCCTATTTAGGACTCGTCATCTAGATGTTACGACATTACAAATCTCAACTGTTTGAAATACATGTTAATTGTTATAGTAGAAGGAGGTATTCAAAATATATGAGGTATATTAGAGGGGGAAAAGGTAATCACCGAAGAAACCAATCCATGCTATGGAGTGATTGGTCTGTAGCCTTATCTGTCAAAAGGAATAAGGATCCTGCTAGTTTATTCCAGATTGATTGAATCAGGCTTTGAATGCGATTGGATATTATATTCTATAATTTCCTGCTGGTTGTTTATGTTGACTGATTCGGTCGTTCTCTGCGAACGCCTTAATTGTGTTAATAAGGTCACTTCGATGCTTATGACAGTTGGAACGTAATGGAATCCAGGATGCGCATTTCATTCTTTAGCAGAGTTATGATGCATATCTTCTCAGATTCCAGTGATTAGTAGTCTTCCTTCTAGGTAAACGTCTATCCCTTTCACACACAAGGTGAGAATATCATCGCTTGCAATTTCCCACTATCGATTTGTTTCAACTAAATGGTTTGGTGGTAAATAGACCAGAAGACATACTTTAGATTCCACTACTAACCTCCACCATCCATATTTACTATCAAACGTTATTCGAAATGTATGTATGTGTGTGCGTGCGTGTATTCAAATCAAACTTTGTGAAAGCGACTATCAACCAGTGGGTCATGGGTCCTAACCTTGCCCCACCTACAAAGGCTTGAACAGTCAGGTAGTATCACTAACCCTCATACAATAGGTGTGGCTCATCGCTTACTGCATGAATAGAACATGGTGACTATGAGTTCATTTCATTGTTCTTTTTTTTTCTCATTGTGACTAGCAAAACATCAAGGATACTACTTACAATTTTATTATAAGTAATCAATATTCTCTGACTGGAAGCTATAAAATAGGATATAAACTTTGTACACTTCATCTTTCATTCATTTAAATTGTAGTAATAGTTTAGTGATTATTTTTTATTATCCTTCCCTTTTTAATGGGTAACTCATTTCTCCTGCTTATATATATATATATAAACATTAAATAAATAATTAAAATAATTCACTAATTTATGGACATAAATGTTGGAAATAAAAGTAAACAAAAATTGTCGGTTCCATTTGATTTTCGTGCTCTCTTCTTCTTCTTCTTCTTCAAATTATAAACAAACGTAAAAAGTTCATTCACTTTTCTTCTTCTTTGCTTATTTCTTGTGAATTTTTGTAACTAAGATATTACAAAAATCCCTATTAATGTATTATTGCAAATATTGATTTCATGGTGTGAAATAACTTCCTCATGGGTTTATCTAAACTATCTTCCCTATATATATAATGCTCAGAAGCTCAGTGATGCTTTTGAAGTGAAGACAGGAGTGAAACAAGGTTGCCTACTATCCCCCATGATATTCCTTATTGTGGTGGACTGGATCATGCAGCAAACAGTAGGGAGCGAGAAGAGGGGGATACGCTGGCTGGACTGCGGAAAAGAACCTAGAAGACTTGGATTTCGCCGATGACTTGTGCCTAATGTCACATAAACTTGAAGATCTGCAGGCAAAAACTAACAAGTTGATAGAAGAGGCAGCGAAGACGGGACTTCAGGTGAATATAGAGAAGACAGAAGTGATGAAGATACCGCACCACCACCATCAACAACAACAACAACAAACTCCAATCACCATCAACGGGAGAAACTTAAAGGAAGTAACCTCCTTCACTTATCTAGGAAGCACTGTTTCAACTACAGGCGGGACGGACGAGGACGTCAAAGTCAGTCAGAATCGGAAAAGCAAGACAGGCGTTCATTAGCCTGAAACCAGTGTGGAGATCTTCTGCACTCAGCATGCGGAACAAGATACGGATTTTCAACACCAACGTCAAGTCAGTGCTCTTGTATGGCTCAGAGACTTGGCGCGTCACGAAAGGGATTTCCAATAAACAACAGACATTCATCAATAACTGCTTACGCTAGCTCGATACTGAAGATCAGATGGATTGCCAGAAACAATAGGCAACAAGGAACTCTGGGAACGAACCAACGAAGCAAGAACCTATCACTCAACAAATATGCAGGAGGAAGTGGAGATGGATTGGCCATGCACTGAGAAGGCCGACTGAGGACATCACACGCCAGTCGCTCGAGTGGAATCCCCATGGGAAGCGACGAGTTGGACGTCGGTGCCGAGGGTGACATGGAGGAGGTCGTGCGAGGAGGAAATGAGAGTTTGTGGGCTGTCGTGGAACCAGGTTCAAAGGATCTCAGAGAACAGAGGTCACTGGAGACGTGCTACTGAAGCCCTATGTTCCACTAGGAACCCAAAGGACTAATAATAATAATAATAATAATAATAATAATAATAATAATAATAATAATAATAATGCTCAGAGAGTCTTAAAACTCCGAGTTGCTATAGGTGTGTTACCAAAATTAACTATTTGCCTGATAGAATGACCTGTTTTATGAAACTTAATGGTACCATACATTCTACTAGGATTAGCAGTTTTAGACATTAAGTTAAACAAGACATGTATCAGTGAAGATCTATTTCCTTTCAACGACGGTCGTTGAAAAGACATATATCTTCGCTGATATATGTCTTATTCTTATTCATGAATAGCTTCATTCAGCGTATTAGTTCGGTTGTAGATATTTTAGACTTATTCATAACTGCACCTACAGGTTTTTTTCATTTCCTCATATGGATCTGTTTCAATATGGTGATTGACGTTTTTCAAGGAATTCATCTTACCTATAACTACTTTCGAGTTGCCTTTGTCAGATTTTGCAATCAGTATAATTATTACTATTTGTCCCTTGAGTTCCTACTGGAACATACAGCTTCAGTAGCACACCCCCATTCCACTCTGTTTCCTGCAGTCTTTTCAACCCGACTCCACAACTGCCCACAACCTCTCATTTCTTCCTCACAACATCTCCTCCATATCACCCTTACCTCGGACACCCAACTCACCGTTTCCCATCTGCGTTCCACTCGACGGACTGGCTGGTCGGGCGCATCATGTCCCCAATCGACCCTCTCAGTGCATGCCCAGTCCAATCCATCTCCACTTCCTTCCACTACATATTTGTTCACAGATAGCTTCTTGATTGGTTCGTTGCCAACCACACTCAGTTCTCTTCTTTCTTATTCTTGTTATTATACTAATCTGATCTTGAGTAATGAGTCAGCGTAGGGGGCAGTTGTTCATCA